AAGGGGTGGACAGGACTGTGAATTAGTAAAGCCGCTCACGGGTGTGGCCCTCGGGCACGGCTGCTCAGCTCTAACCACAGGTTACTTTTTGGGAATTTGGCCCCAGCCTTGCCAGATAGTCTAATATTTTTTAAAGTTTTAAATATGAACTTGTTAATGTGAAAAATCTTTGTTTTTAAACAAAGGCCAAACAAAATGCTTTTAATTTACTAACCATTTTTCTATCCCAAAGACTTCAGTTTGAGGGAAGAGATTGAGGTGTGCTCTTGAGTGGTAAAGCCATCGCTGTTGTCACTGACCTGTGACCTCTGAGCTGTTAGCAGAGACCTCACACCGTAACCTCCATCCCCCGTCCTGTGGCTGCCGTATGATCGTGCTGTGCCAGGGCCACGCCACGGTGTTTGTGACATGGGCCCAACCAGGGCTGTGGGGGCGAGGGACAGCTGCGAGCCGGGCTGGCTGGCGTGAATCTCCCTGGGCTCACTTTAGGGATATTTAATGTGAAAGGGTGGCCAGCAGTACAGCCAGCTGCTGCTCAGATGTGGTTCCCGGACGAGAGTCACTCAGGCCGGAGGAGAAGTCCGCACCGTGAGGATCAGAAACAGAAGGCTCTCACGCTTCCTGCGGCCCTGTGTGGGCAGAGTGGAGTCACGTCCACCCGGCCCGAAGCTCTTGAGCACCTTGTCCTCCTTTCGCCGCTGGCATTCTAACCCACCACCTGTCCCTTCTCCTCGGGCACCTCCACGCCTCCCCTCCGCGGTGTCTCCACTGCCCACGCCTGACCTCCAGCCCTCATCCTCCAGCGCGAGGGCCATTTCCTGAGCAGTGTCCCTGTCACGACTCCTGCCAGCAGCCCTGTGTCATGTTCCCGCTGCCGTTGTCCTTCTGAGATTCAGTTCCAATAGTGTCGCTCCTGGTTTGCAGCCTCAGGGTGAGGTTGAGCTCTTTATCGGGACACGGGGACCTTCATTGCTGCCACCCTGCCAGCCCCCTCCATCCATGTCACATTCTTCAGGAGACCATAGGAAGCCCTCGTCTGGTGTTCATGTGTGTCCCGCCCCATGAGTACAGACACACCAAACGTCTGTTACAGCGCCAAACACTGCCTTTCCTTCCTCCTCCGACCGTCTGTGTGCTGTCCGCTTGCTCCCGACTCTCACCCCTGCTTTTAATACGTTCTGGGAAGTGTCCCTGTCACCCCAGACAGTTAGTGACTTCTTCTGGGAAGGATGACACTTTGTACTCATCTCACTTTATGCTGCGGTGTGGCCCCTGCCATGTGTCATTTACAGACTCTGTCCACACTAACGGTAGAGCCGAACGCCTCTGCCCTAAGGACTGCCTGGCAGAGCGTGGGCCTCAGTAAATGTTTGTCACATGAATAAATGGAAAAGCGCTTTAGTCAAGGAGCACATTACTCAGATACATTCTTAACCTGTCCTCGGGTAACGTGAGCCCCCAGATCCGGAACTGAAATCCGACTTCTCGGTTCTCTGCCTGTGCTAACAATAGACTCGGCAGGCCCCTGCGGCCAGCAACCCTGGTGGCAGAGCCCAGCCTGCAGCCCTCAGCTCCCTGTGCAGCGGTGGGACTCGCCCCTCTGCAGGCTCACTGTCTTCCCTTTTCCTGCCTTAATTCATCTTCTCTTATTATAGAACCTGACAGTGGTCTGTGGGCATCTGCTGGAACCTACAGTTATTTTAAGTGTAGAAGTTTTGCCCTTTCTTGTGTGGAAAGGAGTGTTCCTGCTAACTCTTGGAGACTAAACGAGGGAGGCGGTGGTAGTAGTAATAACAACAACAGTAACAGCAGCGGACAGTTACATAGTACTTAACTCTAAGCCAGTTACTAAGTGTTTTCACACACCGTAGCTCTTGTAGCACCATGAAGTAGATAACTGTGGTTGGTATAATTCTACAGACAAGGAAATACAGACGTAACTTGTTCCAAAAACACAAAACCAGTAATTTGTAGGCCTGGGGTTTGAACAAGGAAGCCTGTTCCATAGTCTGCACCCGTGGTCAGTGTCCTGTCCAGGGATGGGCTACACAGCTGCCTTATGAGTATTTTCTGCCACAGAGGGCTCTGCACCTGCAGGGACATGGCAAGAAGTGATGTGGACACACAATCCCAGCTTTGCTCTGCAGAAAATAGGCTGGGAAAACTATTACCTCTTGCTCAGTCTCTCCTTTCTGGAGTAGAATTTTCAAGACTGATTCATACTTTCTGAGAATTTAATCTTCCAGTAATTTTGTGGATTTTCCTCCTCACCCTGCTCAGATCCCAGAATTGCCTGCCTTCTTTCCACAAAGCTTGCAGGACAGCTCTGACCCACTGCCCATGCCCTAGCTCCCAGCCGTGCTCTCGCGGCTTGTGAAACACTTGTTTGTGGGCACAGAGCGATCTGGAGCTCAGTAGGACGATCCTCTCCATGGGATAGCGGTTTGCCCTGTGGACCAAGTTGGCAGCAGAGAGGACCTTGGGGGGCCGTGGCTCAGATAGGTAGCCAAGCTATGCAGGAGGCTTCCAGTCCAGACTGACTGATAAACAAAGTGGCAACCAAAGTGCTTTCATGGGTCTTTGCTCTGCACTTAGTCTAGCCAGGAGTGGCCACCTCTGATCAGCCAATTGGGACATTCCTCATGTGAAATTGGCTGGCTAGGGTAATGTCAGTGCACCCTATAGATGCTAAAGCACATTATTTTTAGGAAGATAGTATCAGGAATTAGAAATGTTCCATGAGCCAAGTGATATCTTGAGCCTGGCCTGAACTCAATTTTGGATGCCTCTAAATTGGCAGGTGGAAGACATGCGGGTGGTTTAGCAACTGAGTATGTGACCTTAAATAAGTCAGTTAACTTTCTGGGCCTAGTTTCTCCATCTGTAAAATGAGAAGTCCCGATGCTTGTTGCTGCTGTTCTTCCTTCTTCCTACAGCGTTGTTAAAATGTACCTTTTGCAAGGAACCTCTTTTGATCGTCTCAGTTGAGATGAGTCTTTCTGTCAACAAATGTGCCTCAGCTCGTGTGTGCAGAATCTGTAAGGGGATAACTTCAGCCAGGGCTTTTGTACTTCTGGACAGGTGTTGGGAACTCAGCTGTGTGCACTCTTTGACCCAAGAGAAACTCATGCTGGGGATTTTTACTACCCCTACCAGGCCACATTTATTATTCCTCAAAATTAGGATTCTCCACGAGGAACAAAGGGGAGGTTTAGAGGTTGGAACTAGGAAACTTCTGTTTGAAGAACTGTGGGTTTTGTGAAGATACAGCTTTCATTTTCTGGACCCTTTCTCCATCTTGATTTTTTAAACTTGCCTTGATGACCAGAGTCAGGCCAGATTTGTAGTGTACCACTGTGTCTGGTGTGGTACAAAGACAACGCCTGGAGGACAGCCCAAAGGGCAGGTCTTCGTTTAAGTGGATGAGGGCATGGGAGTGGGGAAAATGGAGGGAAACCCTGAAGGGTAAGGGCTTGGGCCATCAGAGGAGGTTCTGTTAGAATTCAGATGAACAAACTTTTGAAATCTAAATGTTGTCAACTTCTCTTACCTGCAGGGAAGTATTCTCTGGTCCCATATCATGAACGTTTACAGTCTTGGGGACAATATGCCAGTTTACTAAGAATAAAAATTTTAGTGTGACACTCCATGGAAAATTCTTTACTTCTGCTCTCTCTCTTGGCTCTCTCTCCTGAAAGGCTACAGATCTGTGTCCAGAGCTTGCCTAACCACTGAGGACATAATCAGATATATAGTTCTCACCCTCTTGGAGCCAAACTGTTTGTGCCTGGAGTTGTGAGTCTTTCACACAGGCTGACAGTGCTGGTATCACTTGTCATGTTGGAGCGGCTGCTACTATGATTCTGACTTGGGCTGTAGTTACACTGTATCATGATGGGAGTGGAGAGAGGGGCCGTGGTTACACTGTATCATGATGGGAGTGGAGAGACAGGTATTGAAGGATGGACTCACACTGGATCAGTCTTACCCACTAATATGTGAAAGCTCCTCACAGTAGGGATCATCTGCTGACAGTTGAGATTTCCAAATTACTGACTCTATTAATCATGTTTAATTTACTTGTATAAATTCATGTCATAGGATGAGGCTCCCTCTTTGGAGCAAGAGGACTTGGAGGTTAAGAATGTTGGGTCCCACAGTAAGCTTGTCAGTCAGTCCCGCACCTTCGTTTCAGTTTCAGTCCTCAGCCAGGTTACTTCCAGCAAAGTCCCATATGTGAGAACCAGGTCAGGTTTTTGAGGGGTATTTGGTATTTTGGCTAAAGACTTATAAGGAAAAAAAATCCTAAGACTTTTAAATGTAGTTACCTTTTAAAAAGTGGTATTAATTTTTTGACCACTTTTTATCTGACAAAGAATGGTGAGTCACTGCTGTGGTTTTCATTACTACAGGGAGTGAGGATGGGCAGCCTCTCGGTGCTGACATCTCTTCTGTGCCGGTGGATCAGTTTCCTGTGGCTTCTCTAACAGTACCACAAACTTGGTGGCTTAAAACAACAAAAATGTATTGGCTCGCAGTCCTGGAAGCTAAAGTCTGACATCAAGGTGTTGATGGGGCCATGCTCTCTCTGGAGGTCCCAGGGGAGGTTTTTGTCTTTGCCTTTTCCAGCTTCTGGTGCCTGTCAGCAATGGTAGACTTGTGGCCAAATCACTCCAATCTCTGTGGGCACATTGCCTCCTCCTCTTCTGTCTGTTTCAAATCCCCCCTTGCTTGTCTCTTATAAGGACACTTGTCATTGGATAATCCAGGATGAGCTCACCTCAAGATCCTTAATTACGTCTGCAAAGACCTCTTTCCAAGTGTGGTCCCCTGCACAAGGGGGATGGGGATTCGTTATGAGCATCATCGCCACCCAGCACGTGTGTGGTGATTCATTGAAATCCAGACAAGTGTGGGCTGAAACACACAAGCAAGCAGATGTGTCACCTGCCCTGGCATCTGGAGCTGGCTTTGGGAAAGGGAGTCATAGCAGCAAGGTCAGTTCCTGGGGCCGTGGCACTCGGTGGCGGTGACAGTTGCCGGCTATTTTGGGAGCTGAAGAGGCTCTGTGCTGTAAGGCCTACTCTGCAGTCCCAGGGTGAACTCTGGCACCCATCAGCCGTCAGCCACCCCGCCTTCGACAGAGAGAGTGCAGCGTCCGTACAGTAGGCAGCTCACAGCTCTGCCCCCCTGTGTTTGCTAAACTCAAGTCTCTTCCTTGGAGAGAGCTTGTCGTTGCCAAGGAGATGTGACATGCTCATTTCAGGAAGCCTCAAGCAACTACCTGGCAGTGTTTCTGGTAGCTCTCTGGACTAATAACTAAATAATAACGAAATAGTGTCTCCTTTTCTTCAGGAGCTTAGAACAGGTTGTTACTTTGTTAATATTCTGTGTCTTTAGGATGCACAGTGGAAGGAAATGGACGGGAACCACAGCAGAAGGCGTTGGGTTAAATGTAAAGACTCATCTCCCATTGATGTCCTGAGGAACGTCAGACACTCGTGTGGCCTCCTTTGCCTGCTCAGGGAAAGGGAAGACCCACCCACCTGGTTGGCCAGTGTAGCTCTGCGGGAGGCAGGGTGCTGGGCGCACCCGCTGTGCCTCCTCCGCGGCTGAGTCAGCACAGCTCCAGAGGCTCACGTGGGGAGAGGGCGTCTGAATGCTGTGGTCACTGGGCAGGTTTTCAGGGATGTGCCCTCTCCTCCATGGCTTCAGCCTGTGCCCTCTGGAGGCAACAGAAAAGAGGAAAGAACAGCGGCAGCCACACCTCCCCGAGGAGCTGGGCTGGGACCTGTGTGACTCTCCTTTAAAATTCATGAGCAGGTCCGAGGTTTACAGTGTGCCCTCTTTTTGTAATATGGCGACGTAACAGGTCACCCGCTCAGAGTACTTGAGAACCTTGCTCGCAGCCAGTCCTGTTAGCTGTGGAAATGAGGGCGAGTCTCTCTGTGCCTGTCCCCACTGAGACCCTGAGGCATGGAGGCGACTCGGGGTCCGTCCCAGATCGCAGAGCTGTGTCGTGCTCTGGACAGCTTCCTGCAGGAGTGGGAATGAGCCATCGGAACTGCTGCCCGTCAGCTTCCCAGGCGTGTCCACATGCAGCAGGGCCGTGAGTGAGCGATGGGCTTCTCTCTGCAGGCCTGTATTGATGAAAACCTGGACATGGTGAAGTTCCTGGTGGAGAGCAGAGCCGACGTGAACCGGCAGGACAACGAGGGCTGGACGCCCCTGCACGCAGCAGCCTCCTGCGGCCATCTCAACATCGCAGAGTGAGTCCCCTTCTGCCCGAGAGCTGGGGCGCCCTCGATAGTTGCTGCCCTCTGTTACGAGTCACAAAGCAGGAATGATCAATACTGTGCTTACGTCACTGCTCATTTATTCTGTGGCTTCTAAACACGTTTCAATTTCTTGCTCCCTCCCTTGGAAGAGTAGCAAGAAGACCTCTGTCAGTGCTGAGTGAGAGCAGACAGGAGGCTTTGTTTTCTCAGGGAGATGTGTTGAGCTAATGGGCATTTCTGAGCCTCTGGGAACTAGGATTCTCAGGGTAAAGCAAATGTTACTCCAAAGCCCGGTATTTATTCTCCTTCAGGGGTAAGTGTGAAGCTAAAGAGGTTTTTACTTTTTATCCCAAAGTGGTTTGGGACAGTAGCCTCCCTTAACAATAACCCTTCCTCGTTCATGGCAACCCAGAGTACTTTCTAGAAGTGAAAGTAGTCTGGATCAGGTCAGAAAAGGCACAGGCGGGGCCCGGATGCCCAGGCGACACTGCCTGACCCAGGGAGGGAGGCAGAGATGCCGAGGGGAGGCTAGGCCGTGTCGTCTCTCTCATGCCATGGAGGCCAGGAGGGAGGAGATAGTGTCAGGCTTCACGGCCACGGCCACGACCGTGGTGAGGAGGACAGGTAGTGTTGACTCTGGTCTCGCCCGCACAGGTACTTCCTTAGCCATGGCGCCAACGTGGGCATCGTCAACAGCGAAGGGGAGGTCCCGTCCGACCTTGCAGAGGAGCTGGCCGTGAAGGACCTTCTTCTGGAGCATGTGAAGCAGCAAGGTGAGCAGGGGAGGGGTGGGGGCTCAGGGCCAAAATGCAGGGAGCCCTGGGTCAGGGCGGGGCACCTGTGCACAGCTAGTCACCTGAGACCCCCTCAGACCTCAAGGAGCGTGGGCTTCGGGTGTTTGCCAGGACGTGGTCAGTGGTAGTTTTCAGCCTTCCTGTTAAGCAGCCTCAGCCAGGACCTGCCCTGGTTCCAAGGACCCAGCTGCAAGGGCCTTCCTGGTGTGACTCTTAGGAGAGAGGCCAGTGCTGGCCACACCCACGCCCACGTGTTGCAGACTTTCCAGAGCTGAAAGCATCTCGTACCTGGCCCTCCCTGTTCTGGAGCCGTGGACGCTTGGTTTTTCTGCTCCCCTTGTGCAGTTTTGAGACCTGTTGAATTAGAGTTGATGCCGAGTCTTCCGCCCAGACCTAGGCCGTCAGAGCTGTGGTGGCAGCTCGAGCGTGTTCTGTGGCCTCTGTGTCTCTCTCCTCATCTGTTTCCTGGGCTGTGGAGACTGTAATTTTCACCTCAGGGGATGGTGGAGACTGAAGTGCTGTGACCAGGAAGAGGACTTTGGGATGGACGGCTTTGAACAGAGACCCTGACATAAACACAGTGGCCCCTTTGGTCTTTGTGTTCTTGGGCCTGTCCCTGATGGACCTGCCATCTCGTTACACTCCTGACACTCTGATGTTGGCAAAACTAAGAACTTATAAATACCATTGCTCCACACGAGGGTGATCTGATGGGTGCCGGGCTGGTGACTGAAGGGCTGCCTGTGGCTGTGTTTAGGGTGTGCTTGAGTCTAAGGCTGAGTGGCCTTGGTGACCTCTGTGCCCATGGCTCCCACAGGGGTCGACCTCGAGCAGGCACGGAAGGAGGAAGAGCAGCGGATGCTTCAGGACTCAAGGCAGTGGCTCAACAGTGGGAAGATAGAGGACACCAGGCAGGCTCGCTCGGGGGCCACCGCCCTGCACGTGGCTGCTGCCAAGGGCTACTCCGAGGTCCTCAGGTGTGTCATCCACCTCGGCCTTGGGGAGGCGTGAGCGAGCAGAATGAGATTCCCAGCCTGCTGTGTCTTTGTGCAGTCTTCCCTTACGTTTGCTGGGGTTCCTCCATGGACCCCCCCCAGCCTCCGCTGTCCCTCTGGCTTCTCACTGGCATGTATGAGGGTAGCCTGGCTGAGAAGATGACCTTACGGGCCTTTCCCAGTTCCAGGGGCCAGTGTTAATATCCCTGTGGCCACCTCCTCTGCGACACATCACGCAGGACTGATTTATGGTGATTGGGGCCTCTTTGGACACAGACGGTCTCTCTGGGCTCATTAGTCAGTGATACAGATCCAAACGCTGTGCAGGTGGAACGACTGTGCCCAGGGGTCCCACATGGCCTTGGGGTGGCTCAGCCTTGCTGTGATGGGGCCTCAGTGTGTAACTGAAACCCAAGCTATGCCTGAGGGACAGGAGAGCTGTGACCCCTGGGCTCTGCTAGGTGTTTGTGTACTTGGCAGGAAACTGAAACAGAGAATACAAACGTCCTGTTTGGTTTTCTTCTCAGACTGTTAATTCAGGCTGGCTATGACCTGGACGTGCAGGACCACGACGGCTGGACACCCCTCCATGCCGCTGCGCACTGGGGGGTGAAGGAGGCATGCTCCATCCTGGCAGAGGCCCTCTGCGACATGGACATCAGGAACAAGCTGGTGAGCCAGCCAGGCCTCCGCATGGGCAGCAAGACTGTGCCGGGCCTGAAACTGAGGCTCAGGGTCTGTGAACGGCCAGGCTCACTGGCCGGGGACATGGGACACACATCACTGTGGCTATGGGGCTGCTCCCTGAGCCCTGTATCAACACAAAGGGGTTTACTGGGTAAATGAAGCTCCAGTGACCCAGCCCCCTGATTCCACCAATGTTGAAGCCTTTAAAACAAGCTAACAGGAGGCTACCGTCTATGAGGAGGTGTGGAAGATTTTACTTTACTATATTTTTAATTCTAAGACTTTTAATAGCTGGACTCCCTTCACATTCAGTCATTAAAAAACGTAATAATTACAAGTTTGGCTGAAATTGTGTTCCTCACTTTCCCATGTCTATGGAACTTTAGGAATTCAGAGACGCGGCCCTTTAGTGAGGGGTGTTCCTGTCTGCCTCCCCCTCCTGATCCATGCCTGCTCTCTGATTGTGGGTTCAGGTCCCTGGTATTTCCCAGAGGAGACAGCCCTGCCCTCTTCCGAGGAACTGGTCTTGGGACGTGACTTTCGTGCACATGCGCCCAGGTCCCCCTGAGGCTTCTGAGAGCCCCTATCGAGTTATCATTTAGGAAAGACCATTTAGGAAAAGGTCCAGAGAAAGGCAGTAAGCGTCCAAATGATGTGGTCATTTCCTCAATACTGTTTACAAATTATAAACTCTATCCGTAAGGGTTTTCTGTCTCTCTGTGATAGACGAAGGCCTTGTCATAATGTAGAGCCGACCATGAGGGAAGCAGCTGTCACTGGTTCAGGCAGCAGTGACTATTGAAGATACTCTGGCAGAGTCTCGTAATCCCTGCTCTGTTTCTCATGGTAATGGTACCTTCTCTCCCCCAGGGCCAGACACCATTTGATGTGGCTGACGAGGGCCTTGTGGAGCACCTGGAGATGCTCCAGAAGAAGCAGAGTGTGGTGAGTCCACGGGGTGCTTGAGAGTGGTCGGACAGTCTCAGCCCACCCCAGGCATCTCTGTCTCTTGCTCTGGTCATGTCTTCATTCCGAAGAGGGCACTCTTTTCCTCCAGGCCCTGTCAGCGTCCTGTTAAAAGGAAAGATCCCAGAAACCGTGGTTGTTAAAGTTCACTCATCACAAGAAAGCCTTCAATCAGCTGGAAGTTAAAAATAACGGACTAGCAGTTCCCCGTGTGTCCTAGAAAGTGACCGTTCTTTCCTCCCCTCAGTGTTGGCCTTGTCGTCTTCAGAATGACGGTTCCATGTTGAGTCCTCCCCTGTACTGATTTTTGTCAAGGGTCAACCTCTTGCCTTTTCTCACTTTCCAGCTTCGAAGTGAAAAGGAGACACGGAATAAGCTCATTGAGTCGGACCTGAACAGCAGATTACAGAGCGGACTCTTCAAGAAGTAAGACGTTGGGGGCATGCGTTTGTGACACACTTAGCTGAGGATTTGTGCAATGAGAAAACTTTGATTTTAGCCAAATGATCTTTGAATGTGTGGGATCATGTGAAGGCAGGGAGGGGCATTGATGTGTGGGGAGACACTGAGGGTGGGGGGGAATGAATCGACATTGGGCAGCATTTCTTGTTCCCCAGCTTAGGGGGTCCCGAATCCCAGCCTCCTCCCTGATGGGACATTCCATGGGCTCAGGGACCACCCCAGAGCCAGCAGGATCCCCGCGTGTCATAAGCTTGTCATAAGTAACTGTTGTTAGGCGACTTATATTCACCTGCTCCGGCAGCACCCAGGTCGTGGCCCTCTTTTCTTTGTTGAACAGGCTGGAGCTCCTTAGTCACATTCCACAGTCAAACAGCAGCCTTAGAGTGTAAAGGGCGAGACTCAGAGCAGCTGCAGAAAGAGATCTGAACACATTCCTGTTGTTGCTGCAACAGGTTTATAGCCTCATCCTCCTGATGCCGACTGTCAGTGCACTTAAGAGATGGTTGTTGTTTCTGAATGACACTCGAACTGTCTTCTTTAATTTAGCAAAGAAAAGATGCTCTACGAGGAGGAGACACCCGAATCCCACGAAGCGGAGGAAGGAAACAAGGCGTCCAGCAGCTCCAGCTCGGAGGAGGAGGGTGAAGACGAGGCATCCGAGTCTGAGACTGAGAAGGAGGCAGGTAATGCAGACGTTCCTGCACGGTCCTGTGTTTCCCGTGCGAGATGCACACTGCCCATCAGAGCCGGAGCCTCAGAGGGCTCAAGGGAATGTGCTTTCCGCTTTCAGAGATGAGATTCTGCTAGTTCCGCTAGTGAGAACTCGATCGTTAAAGTGGTGAGCTGAGTTAGAGCAGTTGTCCTGTAGCCACAGGACAGGGTATGCAAAGAAGTCCTGTGTGGACGCCACCAGTTCCGACCTTGGGTCCTGGGCGAGGCAGAGGACATGGGTCTTACAGAGGCACGTTTGGTTGGTGCCTCCTGTGTCTGTCCAGCTGGGAAACCCATTAGAGGGGAGGCTGGGCATTGAGCTTATAGTGTAGTCCGTGTTCCCTGAGCTCAGCTGTAGCAGGGCCCACAATAAAGGTTTTAGAAGGTGCTAGAGGTTTCATCAGTTTGAGGTCAAGCATATGCAGCCCTAGTCAGTTTGGGTGATGGGTAAACCTGTTTTGTTAGCAGGAAAGCACATGCACAGAGACAAGATTTTCACATGTGCACTTGTGCCTCGTGTGTCTTAAATAGATCAAAAGCCAGAGGCCGTTGTCAACCATTCCAACTCAGAAAGCAAGGGCCGTATCATGGAGCAGACACCAGCACCAGCTCAGAATACCTCCTCAGCCCGGAGGGTGAGTATTTTGGGATTAATTTGGATATTATGTTTGCCCAACTGCAGTAACATACTTAGAAAGGCCTTAAGGATACAGTCTTATAAAACAATAAAAATACATTCTTGCCTGTATGGTCTGCGCAGTGCCCTAACAAAACACTGGGTGCCTTTAAACAGTGCTACTTTATTTCAGCTTATTGGTCCTCTCAGTACCTCGTGAATTGAAAAGGCTGCATTCTGGTGTCATCCTGGAAACAGAGGCCTGATGCCTCACTCACTCCAGGGTGTCGCTGTGACAGGGTTCACGACGAAGGCAGCCTCACGCATCTCCCACGGCTCGGTGTGATCACACACATACACTTATTCCACGTTGCTAAAATAATGCCAGGACAGGCATTTTCCCCTCAGAGCCAGGCCTCCAAAGCCAGACAGATACATGCAAATGACCAGTGAAAAGAGGAAGTCCAGGTGTGACATGGGACGAGTGATTTTGCGTTTCTGTTGTGCTGTCACTTGTCACTGTTCCACCAGGAAGGGTGTCCCGCTCTCTGGACAAGGACCTGGGAGGGATGGTTGGCTGGTGTTCTGAAGGCCCTTATACCCCAGACAGTCTTTGGGCCAACACTGTTGTTTTCTGTGGTTTACGACAAAGTGACATAATTAAGGACAGTGAAAGTTTTCCATAAGCTTCTTTGTGATGGTAAAATTTTTTAAGTGAAATGATGACTCTGGATCAAATAACTGTTTTCTTGAAATGAAATTAGCACTGGTGTGCAGGGCCTTCCGAGTATTTTCTAGGTATTACTTAAATTAGACTAGCACCTCATCTCAGCACCTCCCACGTGTGCACATACACTGGGGCTCAGCTCCTGTGTGAGGGGAGTATGCTCTTTCTCCCGTTTCTCAAATGGGCATGTTGAGACCTAGACAAGCATCCTATTTTCAGTTACCTGGCGAGAGGAGGTGTGTCCGAGCTCGGCACTGGCTGCACAGACACGGGAGTGTGTCTGATTTCTCAGAGCAGCCCCGTCAAGGGGAGCTGTGTTGAGAGTCTGGGGCTCTTTCTGGCTCAGGGACAAAGGCAGCCTCAGGGTGTGTGGTGTCTGCAGGTGAGGGCGGGAGCACTGGCTGAGAGCCTGTGGCCTTATCAGGTTCTAGGGTACAGAGGCAGAGGGGCTGAAAGGAGTCTCGAGGGGCTGAAAGGAGTCTCCAGGTCCCTTCCTTCTCTCTCCTGTTTGCTCCTTCCCTTGCAGATCGCCAGCCTTTTTAACCAGCTGGAGGAGCCCAAGGACGAGTCTCCTTCTTCATGGCGCCTGGGACTCAGAAAGACCGGCAGCCACAACATGCTGAGTGCGGTGGCCGACACCCGGGAAGCTGCGAGGGACCGGGGCTCCGCCCTCTCCCGCTCTGCGTCCAGTCCTCGCATCTCCGCTCTGCTGGACAACAGAGACAAGGTGCGGCACAGGCTCCGGGCAGGTTCCTTCCAGGAAATTCACTCACGGGATGAGTGAAAGGACAGCTTGATCAAGAGCTGTTCGCTTGCTTTGCCTGCTTAGCAGAAAGAAAAACCCTTCCTTTCAGCATAGCTCGCACTCACATCTCCGTTTCCTCCTTACCATGGGCAAAAAATAAGTCAGAAGCGTGGCCCAAAGGTCCCTGAGCCAACACCAGTCACTTACTCTTCCCATGTTTGGAAGCAGAGTCCTCGGCGGGCCTCTCCATGCGCTGAAGCTCAGGCAGGTCCTTGCTGAGGACAAGGCTCAGTGTCCCGCTCGCTCACTCGTGGATGTGGTCCGGCCAACTCCACAGGCAGCTCATTGCCTTTCTTCACTGTTGGTTCCAGACAGTTGGTGGTTGGTCTCCCTTGGAGCCCTGCCCCTCTCGGCCCCTGTGGCTGGTTTCAGGGATGGCAGGGGGGAGGGGAGGGCTACTCCTTGTCTGGCTGTCCCAGCTTTCCCAGGAGGTCGTTTCCCTGCATGTTGGTTTTTCACGGAGGAACCTTGGGAATAAGCCTTTGAGAGCTAACCCTTTGTAACAGACGCCACCTGGAATGGGACTGAAGCTGGAAATAAGATTTATGGGTGAACCCATTTCTGCTCTTCCACCCCAAATACATGACCACTGGTCCGGGTGTACCTGCTCCATGCTTCACCTGTCTTGGTTTTACAGGAAAGAGAAAACAAAAGCTATTTTAGCTCCCTGGCGCCCCGGAGGCTCAGCAGCACAAGTGACGCTGAAGAGAAAGAGAACAGGTAACTGCACGAGGCCCCTCCCTGGTGGGCTCGTCCACGGCAGGCCTGGAACGGCAGGGTCTCTACCTTCTCAGGTGCCCTTATGCCCAGCACAGGCCCACCCCAGGGCAACCACTAACAGTATTGCTGTTTTGTTGAATTGATCAGCTTCTGATTTGTAAGTAGATAAAATTTCAGTCTTCCTTATCTGTTAAAATGAATTCATCACTGAGTCTCAGAGCAGAAGCTGACCTACAACCTGTCTCAGGTGCAGTCCTCCCAGGCATCACCTGGGCACGTCAGAAATGCAGACTCTCAGGCTCCACCCAGATCTGAACTGGAATCTCCATTCTAGCAACAGTCCATGGGTGACTCAGATGCACACACACGTCTGAGAGGGACCACTCTGCAGATACAGCTGTAGCAAAGGCTAGAGTTGACCGTGTGGTCAGAACCACTGCCACAGCCTTTCCTGGCGCCTTTCACTGGTAATGCTAATGAGGCCGCAGCAGGTCCTTCTCTTTCCTCTTTCCCTGTGACATCTTCCTCATCTGCCCCTTCTCTGCCTCCTGCTGGGGGCAGATTTGCAAAGCGTTGTAAAGGGGGAACAGAAGTGAGCTCCCGTTATGAAAGGTTTGGAGGCCTTTCACATGGGACTCAGCTGAAATGAGTCAGCTTTGAAGTTGAGGAAGGCAGCAGATGAGCCTTCACTCATCCTCTGCACAGAGTGGGAGCATCAGACACAGCGAGATCATTGCTCCAGCCGCACTCAGCCTGCTCCTGGCTCCTTCGCGCAGCGTGCGGACTCTGGTGGGAGAGTCAGTGTTTGCTTTGGTTTCCTTTCTGCCTCTCAGAGAATCAGCTGTAAACCTGGTGAGGAGCGGCTCATACACACGGCAGCTGCGGAGGGACGAAGCCAAGGGGAGTGAGACTCCGCAGACCATTGCCCCTTCCACTTATGTGTCCACCTACCTGAAAAGGTACCAGGTCCCGTGGGCGGGAGGCGAGTGCCCCACTGTGGCCTGGGGTACGCGGTTAGTAACTGCACATTTACAGCCAGCAAGCACCACAAAAATAAGTCAGGAAATGAATTATGTTAGATTTCGTGGTAGTAACGCTTGACTAATTTGAAATTAAAATTAGTTTTTCTAAATGAATTAAAGTAAGCCAATTCCAAATCCTCACCACGGGCAGGCCTGAGCTCACGCTCCACCCTGGGTCTGGTTAAACTGCCCAGCAGAAGTGCCCCCGGAACTCCAAGGAGGACTGTGGCCTCCTGCCCTGGGTCTAAAGTAACGGCCGTTCTCATCGCAGTGTGTTTGGTGGAGGCTGCCGGGTGGTGAGGGAGACAGCGGCTGTGGGCTGCGTCGGGACATTTCATGCTGCAAAGCCTGTCAGCCGAGGGATTTGGGTTGTTTTCTCTTTATGACTCATGGCCCTCAGGTCCGTCAAGATGTGAAACTCGCAAGTTTGGTGCAGAGAAGGTACATGGGCTCCCTCTTTTCTCATCTGTCCCTCTTCTGTGATTATCTTCTCTGCCCTGTACCAGCCGGCAAGCAGAGCACCTTGGCCAGAGCCATCGAGCTCTCATATTTTCTCAGTTAGTGTTTAATCTGAACATTGCTGCTGACGTGGAGGAATCTGCTTCTCATTGCTCACTCTGAGCTCTCTCGTCTCTGCTGCTCACCCTCCCGCTGCCCCTTCCTGCTTATCCTCACCGGCAGGTGGTGTAGGTCACTGATGGGCACCTAGACGCAGGCTTTGACCTTACACTGTGTTTGGGATTAAGACTTATTTCTACTTATCAGGAGAACCTTGTTTACTAGTTAATGTCGGAACATGTGAGCTATGAGACAAACAGCCGCTGTTCGGAGACGCCTGTGAGGGAGGCTCAGCCTTGTCCCTTGGTCACTGGAGCTGTCTCACGGGCTCAGCCTTGTTCCCTGGTCACTGGAGCTGTCTCACGGGCTCAGCCTTGTCCCCTGGTCACTGGAGCTGTCTCACAGGCTCAGCCTTGTCCCTTGGTCACTGGAGCTGTCTCACAGGCTCAGCCTTGTTCCCTGGTCACTGGAGCTGTCTCACAGGCTCAGCCTTGTTCCCTGGTCACTGGAGCTGTCTCACAGGCTCAGCCTTGTCCCCTGGTCACTGGAGCTCTCTCCACAGGCTCAGCCTCGTCCCCTGGTCACTGGAGCTGTCTCACGGGCTCAGCCTTGTTCCCTGGTCACTGGAGCTTTCTCATGGGCTCAGCTATGTCCCCTGGTCACTGGAGCTGTCTCCACAGGCTCAGCCTTGTCCCTTGGTCACTGGAGCTGTCTCCCACAGGCTTGGCGTCCTTGGCTTACTGAGGCCGGCATCTTCTTGTCTAAGACTAAGGCATCAGTCTAGATACGTCATCACAGCTTACAGCTAGATCCAAAAAGACTTTTCTGAGAGAATGTTGATCTTGGAGAGAGGAAGCTGCCCTAGATGCTCAGGCTGGCCATTACTTTGTGGTGGGTTTATTGGGGTTCACAATCCAGATTATTGGCCCAGGGCTGAACAAGCAGCACATGGTTTGGTGGAGTCGCTGGGCATGACTGGTGAGCAGAGGAGAAAGGGCCGCCTCTGTGGAGGTGGAAGGCAGGCTTCCTGATGGGGGCATTTTCTGAGAAAAGATTGAGAACGTGCTTCATACTTGGGATTTCAAAGCTTTTCTCCTGTAACCCTAAGGCCCTTTTGGGTTTTACAAAATCTTGTTATCTTTTCAAAAGCAAAGAATCTTGCACCATCTCTGTTTGAAAAGCAAGTGTCACCTGGGCTATGCCGAGCTCAACACCTTTTCAGGTTCTGTCATCTCATCTCCAGGCAGAAAGTCCTTTATGGCCCAATAAGATGCATCTCTTCCAAAGAAGGTCCATAGTGTTTTATGGTCACCCCTTAGATGTCTCATCACTATCATAGACAGGAAAGTTTCTTAAACTTTAACCCAAATAACTGCTGCAGTTGAGATGGTTCTTACGTACGTTCAGTGGAAAGAGAAAAGCTGTCTTGGTATCACCCAGACTGTGGCTTCTAGACTCGGAACTCTTAGGTCCACCCACAGGCACTTTGTCCACAGAGCTTCCTGACCCTGATCCACGCTTCCTTTGAAATCTCTGCTCCAAACTCTGCAGACTCTTGGCTTCACTCAGCCTGTCAGAGCTACTTCTGTAACAGCGGACACCGGTGGGTGGGGTGCGTGACTTTTGCCGTGGGGTCGGTTGGGAATTGGTTTTCCTAACACAGCGATTCTGTCTCCTGCTGCTTCCCTTTCTACCCCCACCCCCCCATGTTCTTCCTCTGGTTGCACGTGGCCTGTCCTCTCCGAGTTCCTCCCTCCTCGGGTGATTGGCAGGTGCCTGCTTGCTGCCAGCGGTAGGCTCTCGCTGGCCTCTCCTCTTCCAGCGCGACCCCTCTCTGTCCTGCCTTCCTCTTGGCACTGGGGGGAGGTGCCGGGCAGTGGCTGGGGGGGGGCGGCATGACCTGAGGAACTCGATGTGTGTGTTTTTCAGTGCTGCCCTTGGTAGAAGTAGTGGCCCCACAGGTCCCTCCATTTCAGCCCATGCAGTTCATCTCCTGCTGCCTCGCCCATTCCCATGGCTCCTTCACCTGTCGGGCAGCAGGTGGCAGCCTGCCTCTTCTTGCCCTGCTCCTGGCAGTGCAGACACTGCGCACCTGCACCGTATGGCAGGTAAGGCTTCTCGGAGCCACTTCACTTACAGTCATCGCACCTGATGCCTCTGGACGCATGAGAGACATGAGCCAAAGAGGCTCATCAGTGTAGAAGCAACATGAGTCCCCGCAAAACATCCGTCCCTCGGTGAGGCTGCTTTGCTGTGACATTACTGCCAGCCAGCAGCTGCCTTTTGAACAGTCGCCAGCTGGGTGTTTGTGCTGGGGGTTCAGCACCCACGGACTGACTGCTTCCATCCCTTGGTCACCTTACCAGTTGTGGTTGCAACTTAAGGTCCTACCGTTGTGGTAAATCTCACACATTCATAAGAATTTTCCCGTACTTACAAGTAGGGCTCTTTCATTAATCTTTTTGGAAGATGGCATACAAACCAAATCAGAAGCAGAGTTAGTTAACTCTTGTTTCAAAAGTCCCATGGCCTCCTGAGAACTCCCAGCCAGTGAGTATTTGCTGGAAACTCCGGGGGGCGGGAGAGACATGTGTTGGTCTGAACTCTGTTCCAGGCAGCGTCTCCTTGGATCCTAGGTCGTCTAAGGGGTGGCGGGGGCGGGGTCACTGTGAACGCTCAGAGGACCAGCTGTGGCTTTAACGGGTTTCAGTCCCATATGGCCAGACACCTTTTTACTTTGGGGATGACAAAGGGACTCCTTCTTGGGATCTTGTTTCTACAGCCAACACGGAGGAAATGCAAGTGTTGACGAGGGCATTGTCGCCACAGGACACACTGAGGGTGGTGCCTGATGGATATTTTTCAGTTACCAGCTTCATCCCCTAAAACAGTTGTGGTCATCTGTTTTGCCAGGACAGTGGGCTCATGGTGGGTTACTTATAGTCTCACCATACAGTTGTGTAGAAGCTTATTGGGTGGTCATCGTAATGCATTTGCGCAGGCACCGTAAGCATCCCCATCAAGGACGACACAAACCCAGGGAGGCTCCCTGATTAACTGTTAAGAACCACGCCTGGGAAGAAACAACAGCTGCCTCTGCTGAACCCTGTCATGTGCCAGGTGTTGGGTCAGATACTGCACAAAAATTACATCGGAATTCGCTTTACTCACACATAACAGCAAGTACAAATAATAACGGCTTAAATGTGATAAAGGTGTGTTTTTTTCCTTAAGAAAATCCAGAAATAAGCAGGGCTGGCACACAGCTCCAAAGTCGTTGGAGGATCCAGGTGCCTTCTCTTTGCTTCACAGTCCTTAGACCTGGCTTCCATTTCCATTGGTTGCCTCTTGGTGCAAAACAGCTGCGGAGCTCCAGCCGTCATGGCCGCATTCTAGGCAGGGCGACAGAGGAAAGGGGGCACTGTGCAGAGAAGGATGCCTCTGAACTGAGAATTTTCCCAGAAAGCACTCATTTTCTGCTCCTATCTCACTGGCTACCTCTAGCAGCCAGGGGACTAGAAAATGTGGACGTTTAACCAGGTACATTGCTGCCCTCGATAACATACAGGTTCCGTTAGGAAGAAAAGGGAAGTGACGTGGTTAGGCAGCCTCAGGCACGGGTGTCGTTTATAGTCATAAAGGGCCCCCCAGTGCGTGAATGGTGCCTCATTTCATAGGTGAGGACCCAGAGACCAAAACTGAATCGCCTGCCCGGGTCACACAGCTAGTGGGGAACTGAGGCGGGACTCGAGCCCGGCTCTGTCCATTTCAGAGCTCCTGTCAGATGCACTGTTTTGCTTCCGTGGAGTTTTTATTCTGGGCGCCTTACTAAGTGTCCTGCACACAGTATTTCATTGAATCATCACGAGACCCCTGCATTTTAAGGTACCATGACCCCCGTTTTATAGATGACGACTAGAGAGGTTAAGTGGGCTGAAGTTTAGCCCCAAGATGCCCCAAAGCCTCTGACCCTCTCTCTGGAGCTCTTCCGAACACTCTCTTTGTCAAATTATACCACATGTCAGAGTAGCAGCGAAAGTCCTGTTCCACAGTGTAATGAGGCAAAGTCCTTGGCATTTCCACAGTATAAGGAATTACAGAGACCAAAACATGCTGTTAACCTGAAAAGAACTTCAGGCCAGGTCATGGTAAGTGTAATCTGTACAGCTTTGTTTCTGGCTGATTTATTAGTACTTCCTATAGACATCTCGAATCTGATTACTTGCCTCATTTTTTAGTTTAAAAAAATGAACACAAAATGTTGCCTTGGGTTCTTTTGATCCCACGTCACAAACTGTTCTGTTTTTATATTTGCATCTAGGTACCATGTTTAGACCTTTAGGATCTGACCATTTGTTTCAAGCTTATTCTGATCATGTGATTATTTGAAAGTAAGCTTATAAACATTTCTGGTCATTGTGAGGAGGTGAAAAAAAACAGATTTTTAGCATCCGTGATATTCATTGCTTTTTCCATCTTTGTGAGAGTCCGTTTTGGATCCGTTACCCCAGCAACAAGCTGCTACAGCACCACTGACAGCTTTTTGGGTCGAGAGCCAGTGGTTGGTCTCCCTCTTTGCTGAGAAACAAAGATCATGTTTTTGTGTAGATGACGGTAATTACAGGCCTGCCTGCTGGAAGCCTGCAGTTAAGGTTACATACAGAACCCGGTTCGTTTGTTCTGATTCTTGTGCGTGCAGTCGTGATCACAAAGTCAGGCATTTGGATAAATGGAGAGCGCAGCTGGCTGAGCTGGGGGAGGGCAGGCTGGTCGTCCTGGGGTCGCAGGGTTTGGCAGGTGCCTCTGTACATCCTAAGGGGACGGTTACCACCCAGGGTGAGGACTCCGGGCAGGTGGAGGAGACGAGTCAGTGACTGCGCTGTGGTCTTCAGCACGGCCTGCCCCGCCCCTGCGCAGAGACCAGGCGGTGCTCGGGGTCGTACATGCCACGGCCTCACCCGTAGCCACAGCTAATTTCTTAGAAAAATTTAATCTCAAGCAAAAAAAATAAATCTCATAACACATTACTCCTCAGGCAGAGGACGTCCAACTGTGTACTCACACTGTTCTGAGATTCAAGAGCTTGGAGTTAAAAGCAGCTGGCAGGCAGAACCTGAGCGAGAAGCTGCGCGAGCTCCGCCTGTCTCCTGCTTTCTCTCCCTGCGCCTTGTGGTGCGCGCTCCTGAACACACCCTCTGCTGTGTCGTTCTGATTTCAGGACTCCTCACAAGTCCCCGGCCGACTCCACAGCAGAGAAAGACAGCGTCTCTCCGAGCACCCCTCTGTGTGTGATCACCAACCGCCCCCCGCCCAGCACTGCCAACGGGGTCACAGGTGCCCCTCTGCTGTCCACGCCTGGGACGGACTCCTCCGTGGAAGCCAGGGAGAGACGGAGGTGCGCTGCCTGCTGGTTTCGTTTGTGGGGTTCTCCCGGGAGGTGGAAGATGGGGCAGGTGGGAAGTTCCCCAATCTCAAATATGTTTATGAAAATAGATCTTTATATTCAGCTTGGGTTTTGGATTTTGCCTCAGGGAGATTTTCAGTGGAGACCTAAATTATTCCTGATTATTTAATAGCAGTGCCTGTTCTGTCGTGGAGACAGGCTCCTCTGTCTATGACCATTATCAGGCCTTCTGAGGGGTGGCACAGGTGGGGTCTCTGAAGGCACAGAGGACTTCAGCTGTGGCTTTGACTGGGGTTTCAGTCCCCTGTGTGGTCAGACACTGTTGTACTCTGGATGTGGCAGAGGGATGGGTGTTTGCTGAGCACCTGCTGTGCCTCTCGTGGTACAGCTCGGCTAGGACGTGTTTGCCGGAGGAGCAGCACGTAGGCCGAGAGTTAGATGGAGATGTTGATGCCTTGTGATGGGACTGGTTTATCAGGCAGGGGTGGCACAAGATAACAAGTAGACATTAGATTTTCCTGGGTAATAAATGTTCATTGGGTAATAAAAAGGAGATGGCACAAGGTAAATAAATACAACGCCCCATAAAGACCTGCGGGCATAGTCCCTGGTGTGCACTGGCATTCACCTGCCATGGCCGAGTACGTGGTTGCCCCAGGACACGCGGGGACAGACCCAGGGACGCGTCTGCTGGCGAGACAGCAGACATCAGGTCGTCACGCGTGTGGTGTAACCCTCCGAGGCCTTAGGACAGCCTTGTAGGGAGAACTACCCTTCCTGGGGACCAGGGGTCAATGTCCTGAGAGTGCCGCGCTCAGAGTGAGACCAGGTGGCGAGACAGGGACGAGCGTCCAGGCAGAAAGTGCGGTGCTGGAAAGAAACTGGGGTGGGCAGGAGACTGAGGACACCACCTAATGTGTGGAGAGTCAGGGACAGAAGGCAGAGGAGGGGGAGAGTGCGGCCTGTCTCAGAGCCAGTGTGGACCTGGGTTCATGTGCAGATCCAGCAGGAGCGATAGCTGTGTAGAGACGTCGTTCACGTGCCATGGGACTTACCCAGTTACATGACAGTTCGGCAGTTCTCCCTGTGCACAGGTTCGTTCAGCCACCACCACAGTTAATTCTAGAAAGAAACCCCGGACCGTAGCTCTCACCTCGCTACCCCCTGCCCCCCATCTAAATTAGACTGAGCAGTGGGACAGAGGAGGTGGCCAAGCCGTCTCTGAAAGGCAGCTACTAGTCACCTGTGAGTAGTACTCTGAGGCTGGCGGCCTGGAGGACACAGGAAATTCAAGGGACGAGTTCAACCCACCTGGGCTGGGAGAAGGTATGGCCAGTACTGTGCTTCTGAAAGCAGCTTTTGTGAAATAGATTCAGATGAAGAGCAAGCATCCTGCGGCCAGACGAGTCTGCGCAGGGCGGTTAACCCGAGTTCAACAGGATGACCGACCACTCAGAGGCCTGCCGATGGTTCCTCTTGAGGTGGGGGTGGGGGGCGGGCATGGAATTTGCAGCCTTTCCCACGGTCTGTATCTGTGGAGTAGCTTTGTTGCTTTTACAGACACCGGAGACCTGGGTTCCGCTGCGTGCATGTTGGAAACTGCAGAGCTAGCAGGGTGGGCAGGGCCAACCATGCAGCCTTCTTGGCTCTAACGGGAGCTGGACCCCTGTTCTCCAGCTGTGGGTCCCCCTGGGCATGTCGGCTCTGGACTGAGTTCGTCAAATAACACGTATTGTTCAAGCTGTTACAGAATGAAAGCTGTTTAACTTCTNTATTGTTCAAGCTGTTACAGAATGGAAGCTGTTTAACTTCTCCCTCTAGAGAAGCTGAAAGAAAAAAGAGTCACATGTTTGAAAACAGCTAAATTTTCCTTCTAAAAGTGCCTGCCGGGCGCTAATTCTCCTAAAGCTGCTGCACTGTGTGAGCAGCTCATCATGGCAGCACCGTGACCCCACTGGGGATCCGTGGTGAAGCTGGTGCTCCCTGGTCCAGTTGGAGCAATTAGTAGCCATTGGGATAAGTGGGACTTTAAAACTGGCCTCAGCCAGATCTGGCCCATGGACAGGTCATCTCAGAAACGAGCTCCATCAGAGCACGTGGACTGGGGGCAGGTCTGGCGTGAATCCTGCACAGATAGTTTTCCTTTTCTGCAAACGTGCGTTCTGACAGACCAGGTCCGCTCCACACCCTGTACTTTACCCGGGATTTTAACTGCAGCTGTGTTGTTAGTGGACGGCGCCAGGTACAGAAGGATACTTGGTGATACCAAGTGACAAGCGTGGGAGTGTTAACACTGGGTTGTTCTGAGGGTTATGGGTAATTCTTATTTTCTGCTTTTCCCCCGCATTTTCCAGAGTTCCAGAGGGATAAAGTATTGCCATTATGATGGGGTGGGGGGCAGAAGAACTTGAAGAACATTAGTTGTAGGGACAACAGTCTCCTGTGATGGAGTCTGTGAAGGTGGCCGTCCGCACTGAGGAGCAGACACAGGAGTCGAGGTCTGAGACTTGCAGGTTCTGGGTAATTTGTGATTTTGCCGTGTAAGCTCAGGGCAGGACTTGAACAACAGCTCCCTCTCTTAAGGGCACAGTCTTGGATTTACAAAGTTCCTTTCTTTATCCTGGAAAGCTCACATGTGCTCGCTCGCATGTTCCTGGCACACGATGGAAGAATAGCAGTGTGGCCCCCGCAAAGTGGAAATGCTGAGGCCCCGAGAGCATGGAGTGACTGCCCTTATCACACCAAGAGTCGGGCCAGTGGGAATGTCGCCCTCACCTCCTCCTCACGAACTCACTGACCGTTTCTTCTTAGGGATTTAAGATTTGAGAGCCTCCACCTCCAGGCTCTCAAATCACTGTCTTGCAGCCGGCCCAGCTCCCAGGGCTGCAGAGACCAGCGGGCATCTGATAGTGAGGGGCAGGCACGACAGGAACAGCAAGGGGCAGGAGGCTGGCAGGGAGCTCTGCAGGGACCCAGGCCATGCCGCAGCTGTCACAGTGGAGCTGGGGCTCGTTTTCCAAAGCTCTGAGTTTTCCTTAGCAACAGCGTAAACAGCTCCCGGGGCTAATATTAGTCTGAGAACTTGGCCTCTGACCCTCTCACTTGCTCCCTGCTGCCCCCGCCCTGAGTCTCACCTCTTCCTTTTCAGGGTGCCCTTTCCTTTTTATAGAAATGGCCAAAACAGCTTTTCTGCACACGAAGGTAAATGGTGGTTCTTTCCCCAAACAGCCCTCGTGCGACTCCACTCTGGTGGGTCAGGATACGGTCAGGTCTGGCTGTGCCCCATGCTCCACACGGGGCGGCTTCCTGAGGCCCGGGGCCTCCACGAGCCAGGGGCTATTCCTGCTGGGGTGACGCCGGCCTCGCCCTGGGAAGGTTGGAGATTTCAGCCAAGTAATTAAACTTTGAGTCATGGCTTTTAAAAGTCATTGGCTCATCTCTGTCTCCAAGCTGAGGACAGGCAGCCGTCAGTTCATAAAGGACTTGAGAAAAGAGGCTCCTCCGGTCTCGTCTTCATCAGTTTTTGTTGCAAAATGAGCGTTTTTCTCCCTAAGAGGTGGCAGCCCTGCTGAGCTCGCCACAGCTCCTCCACTGATGTGAACAGCCCCATCTTCCTGGCGTGGGGGGGACATAGGATGGGGTGTGGGGTGGCGGCAGCTGGGGCGCTCTCAGCCGGGCTCCCCTCCTGGGGGCTCTAGTTGCTCATGTGACTAGTCGCCATGTGTACATGTTGGTGACTCCTGCTGGTCGGCAAGGCCAGTCTGCTGTCTCATAGCCATCCCCCCCTGCCCGAGCCTTGGCACTGGTGCTTGGGTGACATCTCCGCACTCTGACGTCGGGTCGGGAAGCTTGTCACGGCCCTTGTCCTTCCCACACATGCACGAGTGAGGCCACCCAGGACAGGCATGTCTGAGTGAGCCCGAGCCCCTTCGGTGCCCCTTATGTTGGGGATGGAGGGAGATGAGAAGTCTGTTTGAGCAGTGGCTGCAGTGATGGTGTTTCGGTGCAACAGTAATGTCCTGTGTGCCTGTGACAGCGGCTCTGCTGGCCTGTGTCTGAAACGGGACTGCTGGTGCGTATGGGGGCGGAGAAGATGTTTTAGAATTGACCTTGTTGATCACGTAACTATGAACTTACTAAAACACCATTGAGTCGTACACCTACGTGGTACATGAATTACATCTTAGTAAAGTGGTTTAGTAACTGGTGTCTGAGCCCCACTGGGAAAGGAGACCTGGGCGAGCCTGCTGAGCTACTGTAGTGAGATTTAAGATCTGAATTAAAGCCTGTTGTCCTTCCCCTGTATTTCTGTTGCTGAGCACAGCTGTGGAGACACGAACTCTTCATTTTCCCGAGACTGTGGCGTTTGTCACAGAATTCCTCTCACGCCAGTTAACATGCAAGAGCAGGGCTTAAAAAGTTCCCTCCCCGCAGGACTCCCCGTCAGAGGAAGGCCAAGAACCCTCCCCCACCCCCCATTATCCC